CTGTTCTCTTTTGTGTCACAGGTCGCATGATGAGAACCGCGCCTTCACACAAACACACACACACGCACACACACACACAAAATGAGAGAGAGAGAGAGAGAGAGAGAGAGAGAGAGAGAGAGAGAGAGAGAGAGAGAGAGAGAGAGAGAGAGATGTTTATCAATGCTGTTACTGACAAGGTTATTTTGTCTTCTATGCCGTCACAGTATCCAACTTGTGTCGGTAGCACCTATGGTCGTGCGGGGGAAGGAATTTTGTTGGGTGCATCTTTCTCGTTCTTAACGTGCATGTTGTTGAGTGGCAGGATTAAAGAAGGTCTTGGAAAGGATGATAGTGAAGAGGATGAGGACGATGAAGAAGAGGGGGAGGATGAAGAAGAGGGGGAGGATGAACTTTTGAAAGATGAAGGTTCGTCTGAGGGCGAGGATGAAGAAGCAGATGGACGTGAACCTGAAGATGGTTTGTTCACTATACCCTCCCAATTTCTTTTTATCAAGTTTCATTTCCTACTGTTCTCATGATGGGTGCTCTCTGTTTACCTTAGAAAATCATCTGTGAAGCGGATGTAGTGCATCCTTTGGCGGCGGTCATTTTCATTCACTCAAAAACCATATCTATGCGCACAACCTTGCACATGTTCCCATTCACACATACCCATGGACAACTACCAGCACACTCTTGACATCATTTTTCAAGCTGTTTCTCGGTACTCAGGGCATGTGCAGGATGGTCCCGCCTTTCACGTCTTCAAAAACTCAGCTGACAGGATTGGTTCGCTGCAGATCGATTGGCAGTCGGCATCGGCCGTCGACTTATATGCTACCCTGGTCAGGGGGAATTGGTCCCCGGGTGGGCGCAGCTTGAAAAGCGCCTCAGTGAACATGTGATGCCTTTCTCCATGAGCTTATCCCCACATTGCGCAATGGGAGTGACGTTGGCTTGCATACCTCCCAACCGCCGGCCCGGACTGCCGATCGTTTTGCAGCCGACCAGTGGGGCTGACCGGTCGGCGGTCTGCCGACCAGTCAGAAAACAGCCATCCACTGTTTGCTTTTCAAATCTGAGTTGGGGGCTGTACTGCACTTGCTGAGTACAGCCCGGATCCGCTGAGAAACTTTTGGGGAGTGGGGGGGGTGTATGGGGGGGT